TGAACCAGTATGTATTTATGATAAATGTCTGAGAAGGAAAGTTTTAGAAAGTTTTATAAAATTTTAACTTTTAAATTGTCTAAAAACGAGTTTTAATGGTCGATTTAAAATCGCTACTCAAAAATTTTCGTTCATTTAGAAGTTTTCCAAAATCTTTATATTAGAGAGTCAAATAAAAGTTAAAAACATTGATGTTTTGTGGGCAAGAAACAAAACAAAAACACCTACGATTAAAACCTGCTAAGCTACAGGTACTTTATTTTGGAGTTTTCAAGGACAGTTGATGCACGCAAAGTTTCCATTTTCACAAACATCAAATGTTTTTTTTTCAAATAAAAAGGTCAAAATAACAATTTGGTTCTTGTAGACAAAAAAAACGGTTTTGCGCATGAAATTTTGTCGTAAAGTTTCACAAAAAAAACGTTTTCACAGTCTATATATTGTTTTATTTTTAATATTTTCGAGGCGTTTGTTTTCTTCGTCTGTTCAGTGTCTCATGTTTGCTACGTTTGCATTTCACACAGAAATTATACTTCAAATTTCAAAAAGTGATGTCGTGAATATCGTGAAAATCATGAAAAATTAAAATAGGCAACCTAGCACAAAAAACCGCAAAAGTATGATCAAAATCAGTTCTGATAATTGAATTTTAAACATCCTATGGTCACTTTTGAACTTCTTCTGGGTACTGCTTAGTTAGTTTACGATGCGGCGAGTTTTTCTGAAGCTTTTATATTAGCCAAGAACAAGCGCTGCCGCCAGGACTGGTAATTTTTTTTTGGTATTTTGTCCAAACATTCTGATGGCGCGGGTCTAAAGTCCTCACTTAACCATGCGAGGTCTCTTTTTTTGATAAGTTCCTCTGGCTGGAAAAATTTCGTTCGTCTGATTGCGTCGAATCACACTCTTTTAGCAAGCGGCGCCAGAGTTTGTTAATTTTTATAAATTATAAAATTTTGGCTTCTAAGTTTTGTTTATATGTCTTCTGCTTAAACTTTGAGTTATAATCAAATATTTTGTTGTTTGGCTTAATTTTGTGCGGTTCTGGTAAAGTAAGTTAATTAGGTATAATAGGCAATTCTGACTTCTATATTTTCATATCTTTAAAATGTCAGTTTTGGCAAAAATCCTTATTTTTTGTCAATAGTGAAAAGTTGTTACCAAATTGTTTAATATGATATATTGTTAAAACCAATTCCTGTTTGAATAAAATCTTCTCGCAATATGGATAAAAAAAGTATCAGAAAACTTGCTTATGTTTTTTTTCGATTTTGATTAAATTTATCATATTAATTGCTTCACCATTACTTATTAACCCAATTTTATCTTGTAACTCAATTTCACTTGGACTCAAAACAGCCAAAAAGCGAAATTTTCTGCTTTAACCTTTTAAGGAAGTAGGGAAACAAAATGGCTCTAAATGGATTTTCTTCAATGCAATGTTATTCAATCGGGAACTGGTTTGCAAAAAAAAATATTTACGGAATTATACTCATAGATAAAAGTTCATTCGCGACATTGATTCCTTTTTCAAATGCTGCATGTTTCCACTGTCCTTTCTAATATCTTAAAAACTTTGATGAACAAATGGCAAGCTTTGATGAGCAAATGACAAATTTTTTTCAAAAATTTCTATCGTTTCTGTATATCTTACTCCCAGATGCCTCAGCAAATATAAGTGATCTTTATCTCACCCAATTACTCGTTGTTTAAAATTCATGCTGAGCCAACACTGGTTTGGATTTATTGACAATTACTCTACTCTTCAAAAAAAATTGGTAAAAAGCGCACAAAGTGGCACTCCATTAAAATGAACACTAGTCGTCAAATTAATTTTCAATTTTGAGCTAAGGAATCAATATAACTCCTCTGAGGCAAAAAATGCTTGTCTAAGTGGATGCTTGAAAAATCGAAACAATTTTTGAGAAATATTTAAACCGACCAGAATTTTTCCGGCAGCTTCGAAAGTCGAAACAAAATCAAATCAACAAAATTTTACATTATCTTTAAACTCGTAGAAAAATGATAGATTTGATCATATGAATTAACTCAAAACCAAACCGCTCTGAAGTAGAAGAATAGCAGAACCCATTTGTCCATTGAGGAACTTTGTATTTGGATTTCATCGTTTTACAAGTTGTTTCCCGTTGTTCTTTTTTACAGATTACACAAACAATTGTTGCAAGATTTCAAGTGACATATCAAACTAATGCCGTTGTGGTCCTGATAATAACCCTCAGTGTAGAAAAAAAAATGGTTTAAAGTCTTTGGTTTTTGTCATAATTTCGAGTGAATAAAGTGAGCGAGTTTGATTTTTATGCTGAATTAAGAGCTAAAAACATAGTTTAACTCCACGAAAATAAATTGCTTCCGAAACTTTTTTACGCGTCCTTTCGAAAACAACAAAAATGCCCAAAAGACAAAATTTGGGAAATTTATGTGGAATAGCGTTTAACGCACCTTCGGTGTTCCGAAATTTTTTCACAACTCATAAAAAATCGCATATATTGAAAACAACATCTGCAAACTTTTAGTGTACTCTGACTGCACCCAATTACATTGTTGGTACTTTCGAACTTTTTAATTTTTTATTACCATTTTAAAAGGGTCATCTCGAAAACTTAATGGGCCTCTGGAGAAATTTGCAGGCCAGATTTGCAACCACTGATAGTCTCTGAGACCACCCTACTGTAGGATTAGGAATCAAACATTTTTTATTTTTCTAAACCTAATTTACCGAAAAAAAAATTGAAAAATAATGTCTTATCTCGGAAACTAAAAGGATTTGAGATTTCAAATTAAGAGGCAAGATTTGAGAAGCCTGGGTGTTTGCTGACAATAAGGTTGTATCTTCATCAAGTTAGTAGTTTCAAATTTTTTGAATTTCTTTGTGGATAAGTTCTTTGACAAATTTTAAATAAATCAAAAACGTCACATCTCGGAAACTAAAAGTATTTGAGCAGTCGCGTTTAGCAGTCGCATGTGGCAAGGTGTGCAACTCTTTAGATTACCCTGACAACCCCGAACTATAGCATTGGGAATTTCAAATTCTGAAAAATAATTAAATTAAACTTTCTGAAAATTTTGAAAAATTCACAAAAAACGTCAGATCTCGAAAACTACAAAGAACTGAGCAGTCATACTTAGAAGAGGCCAGGTTCGCAATCTTTGAGAGTAATCTGACAGCACCAAACTACCGGGTTGGGAACTTCAAGATTCTTTTGCTATTTGAAATTTCTGATAATTTTTGAAAAAATCCCAAAAATCGTCTTATCTCGTTAACTAAAAAGATTCGGGCATTCAAATTTGGAGGCCAAATTTGCAACCCCTACTTCAATATTGGGCTGCTTAATTTATTTTAAGGTAAAACAACCACTAAAATCAAATTTGAAAATCGAAAAAAAATTCTAACGAATTGCAATATACGATATAGCTTAAACATGCAAAAATAATACGTTGAAAAAGCTTTAGGATGGCGAGATAGTGAAGCCCGAATTTAAATGTATAATAGATTTTATATATTTTGATTAATTTTTGGATGAAAACTGTTGTCAAACATGCGTATTGCACTTTTAGTAATGAATACACCTATTTTCTAGGCTTTCGTTCAGATCTGCTCATAATCGAAGCAGCAAAAAACATCCCAATGTAATTTATAGTCGGATCTTTCTGTGCTACTTGTACAGCAACCCGCTATCCTTGTTGCTTTCGTTTTTTTAAAATCTAGCTGAATATTTATTTGGCCAGTGATACACTTTTTTGACAACTAAAAACATATACGAAACATCTAGATGTAGATATTTCGACCCTTTTCAAAACCCATGATAACACGCCCTGATTCTAACTCCAGTGAACATCTTAAAGAAAACGGCTTGACTTTGTTCATGTAATATCTTCATCCGGAGGCGGAGCAATAAGAAGAATTAATAATTTTCTGCTCTTAGACCCATTCTGCTCTTAGACCCATTCTGCTCTTAGACCCATTCTGCTCTTAGACCCATTCTGCTCTTAGACCATTCTGCTTATTGACTGGCCACCCTTCATCTGGACTTCGCGCGTAGTGTTACAGACAACGGCAGGAGAAAATCATCGGATACTCAATCTATGACACTTCTCTCGAAACTTAGTCGATCACTTTCCAAATTACAATACTTCAACAATTCTAAATTTCTGAATAAATATAATGTTCAATCTAACTAAAGATATTACAGAATTTACTAAATACAAGTACACAAAAAACTGACAAACACAATCATAATTCAGCAGTTGCTGTTCGAGATCGAAGAATCTTCATGAGGTTCTTTTTCAGATGAATCGCGTAATACTGATTGGTCAAAATCATTTGTGACAGAAGAATCTGCAAAATTTGACACAACTGTGTTGTCGCCTAAGTTCACATATTCGTTTCTACTTCCACTGAAATTACTATTTGGACTTGCCTCCGTTTAATTTGTGAATTTGCAACTTTTGTTTTCTTCGGCCAAACCTGACATTTCAAAGCTTGAAGCTCTTCTTGAGCTTGGTCGAGAAATTGAGTTTGACCTCGAGTCGTGAAAATTGGAAGCGCTGCTTGATTCAGAAAACGAATTTGATTTTGAGCCGTGAAAGTTAGAACTGCTTCTTTGAGTTAAGTTCTTATGGTTAACTCATAGATTAGTTTCAGAACGGGGAACACCGTCTGCTCGTCACGCTATCTTATTTTCGGCCGGATAGATTCGTGCAACTTCTTAGTCTAATACCGATCTTAATCTTACTCTTATATCTGCTAGTCTCAATTAGTCTCAATAGATCTAGAGTATTTTGTTTTATTGCGAGTAGGTCTCTTTCTTGGAGAGGCAACTAAGTTCTAAGTTAAATTCAAATCTCTCTGGTGCTGAAATTACAATTAATTTCAGCACTTACAAATAAGTGGGTTGTTAGTTAGATGGATCGTGATTGGTTAGTATTAAATATTTTATAGTGATAAAATACCTAATTTATAACCAATAATAAAAAATAGTTTAGATCTGGTTCCATCTTGCTAGAGCATGTAAAGCTATTTCATCGTTAAGTCGGGTCGAAATTTCGAAGGCGGTCTCGTTTGTGAGTTGGTTTCGGCAGTTAGGATCAGCTCCACGTCGCAGCATCAGTGCAATTGACTTGTGGTTCCCGTTTGTGCACGCTACATGCAAAGCGTAGTTTCCGTGCACGTCTGGCTGTGAGAAATCAGCACCCGCCTCGGCATAGGCCTCCAGTAACTGAAACAAAAAAATTAATTCATCAAGTCATATTTGATTGAATATTAGAGCAAAGATAAAATATTCAAAACATAGTCAACAGACAGTTGGCAAAGTGTGAATGAACTCAAGGGCACCGAAAAAACATACACTGGATTTCTTGTCAACAAGTTTTCAACTTCTAATAAAATAACTCATCATAAAACTTCAACATGAAGTTCAGTTGTCCAGTGTCATTGAAATATTTACAGTATCTAAGACTTTGTAATCGAAAAGAAAAAACGGACCAATACGCGAAGCCGGTGGTTCTGTGCAACTTACAGATGACCAAACCACAGTTATTTTATGCAAAAATATCGAAACATGGCCAGCCGACAGCTGGAAAAAAGACATTGAACGCAATGAAAGAAAAAGACTGACTTGTTTTTTTTGAATAAACATCCACTTTTCAATTTCAAAGACCAAATGTAAAGCTTTAAAGCTTTTTCAATTTCAAGAACAATTAATGATTAACACATTTTTGATAAAAACTATTACAATTTGAAAAAAAAAATGAATCAAAAGATAAATATTATATTCCACTGCGAAATCTGAAAGATAAAATTCACTTTCGAAACTAGAGGTCGGTCACGTTCATTCGATAGTGGAGTTTGCCTTCAGTCAAGCAAAAGGAACCAAGTGACAAAAAAAAGTCAAATCGCCAAAAAGTAATTGAGCCTGAACAGATTTTTCTTGAAAAACAACGAAAAGAAAATCATCAGGACCTATAAAGGAGTCTGAGCAACGTTCATCGATTCTTAAGAATTTTTTTTCCAAGTTTTGCCTTTTTTTCAAAATGAAATGATAAGCTAGCACCTTTCGTCAAATTTTTGGCAACAACAGCTGCAAAATCAAATCAGTTCTTCTTATTAGTAACTGAAAAATTGAGATATATTTCAGAAACAACTTGTTCGAATTCCGAGTTTGCATGTGATTTATAACAAAAGACAAGCAATAGAGTCCACTAACTAACAACACAAGGTCGGTTCATTTTGTTCGATCAGCGAATTTAGATGGATTTTCATTGAAATGTACAAAACATAGCCAACAGACCTTTGAAAAAGTGTAAACGAACTCAGCGAAACTCAAAAAAGACCGAGAACTTTTCAACGTTTGAATTGCCGATAAAATATATCACGTTAATGCTCGCTGAATTTCCATGATCTTTTATCATCGACTATTTCATAAAACTAACCCAATTAGAAAAAATGGGCTCTTCTCCACTTATACCCCACACTTCAATTTCAGTGCTGAAAAACTATTTAAACGTTGTCATGAGAAGTCTTTTAAATCAAAAAAAGTTGAGGAATCTGTAGACAAATAACTAACACAGAGGCGAACCTGATCTTTGCAAAAACTAGCGAGAACACGACGAAAAGTAGCTCCAGAGTTCTACAAATTGTAATAAGAAAAGGTAAATATAAGCCTCGAATTAGTCAAAATTCGGCGACGTCTCGGACTCAAACCTACGACTTACTGCGACCTAGATGATTTGCCTCTTACGCACTAACCACTCATCCACGGACGCTTAGTTCATTACAAACACTATTTGACGAACAGTTTGAGTTTAACTAGACGTATCGACCTGTTAGTTGTCTGTATGTCGCGCAAGGTCACCGATATTGCCAACAATTTGAGATAAACTAGATTTATTGACCTGTATGTCGTCGTAATAAGCGGCCATGCTGATACCATTTGCCACTTTAGTGCTCTCCGTGTATGGAAAGTGTGCACCTGCCTGGACCAGTATGGCCACTATGGCCACACTCTTGCTCTTCACAGCACAAGTCAGGGGAGTGTCTCCATGCATGTCCTTCAGATGCACACTCGCTCCATGCTTCACCAGGTAGCGAGCACACGCTGAAATGAGACAACATCACGTGATATTTGATAACAGGGGTGGATCTTGGATTTTCTCGAAGGGGGGCGTAAACTTTTTTCTCAGAACACTAGCAGATCAAATCAATGAGAAAAAAATTAGCGCAGCAAGCAAAATTTTGAAAACACAGGCTAAAAAAGTCGTTTTTAGGCCTGTTTTGGAAAAATTTGACTAAAAAACCGCGTCAAAATTAGCATGTATTTGCGCCACAGGCGCTTTAAAAAAATTAGGTCTGTCAGCCAAAAATAGATTTCTTAAGAAGTACCAAAGGGGGACCCTTTGGGTCGGCAGGGGGTCGAATCCAAGGTGGGCGTCCACCACTCCCGTAAACCTGCTCTTTTAATAACCAAGGTCACTGATTATTTAAAAACTAATTTCTCTGGTTATTTAATTACCCAGTTTTTCACCCGTTGTTTAAACATAGCCAACACAGAGTAGGATAAATGTCAATGAAGGCAAGACTGACTTGTTCTTGAAAAAACTTCAAGTTCCGAAGTTCACATATTGAATGAGACGCTCTTTGAATTTCAAAAATCTTCGATGAACAAGCTACCACCTATTGTAACATATCACCCATAAATTAAACTAATTTCAGAAATTTGGATCTATATGTAAACTTTTATTTCAATGGAAAATCTTGAAATTAAAATCTACTTTCCAAACTAAAGGTTCACACTTTTTTTCGCACCATTTCCTCCTTTTTAATCGGAGAGCGTAATTTCTCAATACGAGAAAAAAATCAACACAACCCGTATACTAAAAGTGTCTTCACAACCTTAATTGACGATTAATAACCAAGTAAAAGGCAGTTATTTATTAATCCATTTTCGTAAATGGCTGCCTTCTGTGACAGAAACAAATTTGAGCCAACAGAAGAATGCGAGACAAACCGACGCTATTAGAACCGACAGAACCTATTTACGAAGTAGAAATTACGAGCGAGACAGAAGCTTAAAAGAAAAATCACGCAACCAGGGAAAAAAAGAGTCGAATCAACGCTTAAAAAGGTAATAGGGAAATCTATAAATTGACAAAATTTCCAGGCCAAATGAGTTTCAGCCTTTTTCAGCCAAATGAGGTTCTACTACACATCAAAAATCCGCTCGGAAATTTTCTTTAAAATTCAACCCTCTAGATAAACTTCTTCTCTATCGTTTGGATTAAATGACAACTTGACAAATTCAGACTAGAATATGAAACGGGCAACACTTATTTAAAACAATTTTTAATCTTACATTTCTCCATCTTATCAAGCTTACCTTCGTTACCTGCCGAACATGCAACATGCAGCGGGGTTCTTCTGTCATAATCAGCACAAGAGACTTTCCTCTTTCCCTCACAGCTCGACAACAGAGTCCTCAAAGTCGTGCCTCCGTCTTCATTCGCAGCCGCAGCACACAGCAGACTCGGCATGATTGCATTGTTCAGTTCGATTAACTCAGGTGCCGAGGTCAACTGCAGGGCATTTGCCAGTTTGTTCAGAAAACCCTGCAGGCAGAAAAATCATTTTTTAAATTATTAAGAAAATTCTATTGGCTAATAAAATCAATTGATGGTCATTTCAGCTGCCGCAGATCTAAGATTTCTTTCGAGGGAGGTGTGAATTTTCAGGTCTATGAAAACCACATTTTTCTGAGCCGCTTTTGGGCATTTTGGCAAAGTTTTGACAATAAATCGTGTTTTTTGGCGCGCACTTCCGTTCCGAAGCAAATGTATGTATTGGTGCCTTTAGAGAACATAAAATATTTAAGGTCCGACAGCCGAAAATTGATGTCGCAAAAAAAAGTAGCAAAGGGGCGAACCTTCGAGTAAAGAGCCCAAACCCCACCCCCCCTCCCCCCCCCAGTAAATCCGCTACTGGGTCTGTTACCGAAGATCCTTGACATGAAAGTGTTCGAAGGTTTTAGTTTTTACTTTAGAATCAGTCGTATTCATGCAGATGTAATGGCCGTATCACTTGAGATATTGCATTTTTCATCGATTACTGTTAACCATTCGAATGACTTCAGAACCACAGAGACCTGTGTTAACTTATCACGTTCGTTGAATACTTCGAAAAGGTTTATTACCAAATAAGTCTCTACAAGTTGAACGCATTTTTACGTCATTAGAAAATTTTTCGTCAATTGACATATGGTATAAGCATCAAGATAAGGAGATAAAAATAACTTAATGCTCCGACTTGTTTGTTTTAAAAGTCAAATAATCGAATAGTATTTTTTGATGTCAAGGTGTATCTAAAGCTACATACTACATACTCCCCTTAATTTTCTTATTCGAGCATGATATTTAATTTGAATTAAAACAGCAAAACATCGAAAACAAAATTTTGCAGCAAGTGTAATTCAAGACTACTCGTATCAATGCAAAGCCCTAAATGATCCGACTGCCCCTTTAAATCTAGGAAACTCGGAAATTGATAAAAATTCATAAGGTGCATTAATTGTCGTAAACTAGACAAACTGGTCACTCTGAAACCACAAAAACTTAACAAATATCACAAAAAACTTTATAAAAAAAGAGCTAGGACATCGAAAATCTCAGAGGGTATGAAAAAAAAAAACTCAGTTCAAAAATGGATAGTTAAAAAGTAGAAGTTTTTCTGAAGAAAAAACACGGTGCACAAATAATCCATCCTTTTTCGAAAGTCTTAACAACAAAACTTCTCGTATTACAGCGAAGCCCTAAATGTTCGGCAGCTTTTTAAGGTCTAATGAGTAGTGTTCGCTTTTGAAAAGAAATGAAAATTTCCAAAAAATCATGAGATATTTTCTAACAATCATCCCCCAATGTTATTTAAAAAAACAAACTATATATTTTGCATATAGCAAAGAATTGAACAGACCAAATAGAATGCATCAATTAAATTTGGAAGAAATTTTAAGCCAAAGTCGGAACAATAAGATCTATGTCAGCTTAAACTTGAGATCTGATTTTTTTTCTTTTCTTGGGTTGATTCGCGTCGCAATAAAACGAAACTTGAATAAAAACGATTTAAATGAAATTGATGCTTTTGTAGACCAATGATTCGGGCTCATCATTCGACTTTAGTCCGACATGATTCGACACACTGTTTGACCGAAGACTTTGTACGGCATCGCAGGGAGCGTCAAAAAGGTAACATCGTTCGGTCAACGCAGACGTCGAGCTACTCGGACCGGGAAATTCAAACTCGTGTTGTTGTGTAAAATTTGATTTCGAGTTGACAAAATATCATTCTGGCACATTTTTAAAAAGTAGAGAATATACTCTTTGTTACATAATAAACCATTGCATCAAAAATGTTACTGGAATAAAGAAGAAATAGCTAACAGACAGTTGAAAAAGTGTCAATTAACCCAAGAAACCGAAAAAAAGTTAATTCAAAAACTAGATCAGTAGATTCTCTTTTTATGCTAGGAAATCTAAAAATAAAAACCTTTTTTTTTTCAAAAATAAAATCTTCTTAACAAGTCTTTTATTGCAGTTCGAGGTCGTGAAATTTTTCCTGTTCGATAGAGGAGTAAGCCTTCACAAAAGAAGTGAACTGACTATTGAAATAAATCAAAGTCAAACCGCGAAAAAACTTATTTGAGCGTGAACAATTTTTAACAAAAAAGATTGTTATGCCCTAAAAATTTCTCTTCGCCAGCCACTTTCATTGACACTTAAAAATGACAAAAACCTTTTCAAATGTAAAAATTAACATTTCACATTATAATAAGGAAACAATAATTCCAAACAAAATTTACGTTTACATTCCATGCTGTTCCAATTTTTGAATTGAAAAATCCTATCAAAAAAAAACAACAAAAAATGGCTTTTAAAATATTTTTCTCCCAAACCGTAGGTTAATTTTAACTAAATAAACATAGCCAACTGACAGTTGGAAAAAAAGTAAGGAACGGAAGGAAACTGAGAAAAATTTTTGAAATTCGAAGACAAAAATAAATGGCCCTTGGCTTTAAGCTCTTTGGATTTGTAGAACAATTTATGATGTACAGTTTTTTGTTAAAATTAATCCAATTTGAGAAAACTGTATCAATAGGTAAAACTTCAATTTCGCTGGGAAATCTGATAACTAATTTCCATTTTCGAACTTAGAGGTCGATCACGTTTTTCGTGACATTTACAATTTTGCTGTTTGATAGCGGAGTTTTCCTTATAATATAAGAAAAAGAGAAGAAATTTAATGAAAAGAAATCACAATTCAAAGACCGCGAAAAAATTAAAATTGAGCGTTATCAAATTTTAAAGACTTTTTTCCTGAAAAAAACCAGCAAAACCTATATAAGATCGTTCACTACGTTTATTACTCTTAAAAGAGCTAAGCTTTGTTAATTAAAAAGGTCTGCCAAAATAGGTTAATTGAAAAGGTCAATTTTTTAGGGAAAGAAATAATCAAGCCCAGAACCAGTTTGAATTAACTAGATGTTTTTTGTAATGTTAAGTTTTTTAGGCTTGTTTTATTCGCCTTCACTTTAGAGGCACAGTTTTTGGCTATCAGCCGAACCAAAGGGGGCGGTTGCTGCTGCAAAGTGCAAACCAATCCAGTTGTTAATACATCACAGGACAAAAAAGCATACCAGAATTTGATGAGTACCAAAAAATTACTAAAACGATAAGCATGGAAAATATTGCTTTGATTTAAGCGATAGATTAATTAAGGCGATAGAGCAAAATAACTTTACAGACGTACCCAATCCAAGATTTTTTGACAAAACCCACTTTTTCGTTTTGGTTCTCAGATACTAGATTTTAGATACTGGTAACGGGTAAATCTAGCCTCAAAAACCAAGCTTTTAAACTGCCTTAGAAGCAAACAAGACTGCTCGAATGTTCTGACGGCGTTTTAATTTCCATGGAGTATTTAAAAGAAAATAAATGATGAAATTTTCAAAAAAAAAAGACAGAAAAAACTCATACAGTTTTTTTGATCTTTGTTTTGAAAATTATCCAGCCCACACAGTATGTAAAAGTCATACAGTACAAAGTCATATATTTTGCATAAAAGAAGGTATTAAATAGAGAAAGAGCATGCATCAATCCAATTTGGAACGATTTCTAAAACGGATTAAAACTCAGCCTAACCAAATAGGCCACATTGGCAATCTTTAAACCCCATAATTTTACGATAAATGACCACAAGTTGAAATTTGTCTGGCGAAAAAAAACCAGCCCGAGCACAATTAATTCGTCTCTTCTTCAAAAGTCGGAGCAAAAACAAGTATTTCTTTATTAGAAATTTTTACAGCCCAAATTTTATACTAACCAAAAGCGAATGAAATGACACACGAACTAGTACAAACCTTTTATGACAAACCATTGAAGAAATTTCAAGGATTTTGAATAACTATTATGCGCTGAATAATGTTGTTTCGCCTTAAATTAAGAAAAAGGTTTGAAATAAGCTACTTTATGGGTTAACAAAAAAAAGACTCGAAGCCCAAATTTTCGTTCAACTTGACTTATTAGCTCCCTAAAAATAAAATTAGACATCATATAGTAGCACGAGGGCTTTGATTTTCAGTTCTAGCGTATGGCAATCAATCTAGTAGCTTGCGCTTGAAAGCAGAAAATTTGCTTGCCGCAAGACATGGGCGCAGATCAAAACTGACTTAATTGAAACAACATAACAAACAGACAGTTTGAGAAAACTGGATCAATAAGAAAAAAAATGTTTCGCTGGGAAATTCGATAATGAAATTCCACTTTCCTAACTAGAAGTCGATCACGTTTTTGTAACCTTTGCTTATTAGCTGTTCGATAGTGAAATTTCCTTCCCTTGAGAATAAACAAAAAGTCAAGCCGCCAAAAATAAAAATTGAGAGTGAACAAATTTTAAGACATTTTCCTGAAAAACCATCAAGACCTATACATGACTCTTAATAGGTTGCCAGATTGTTCATATGCTAGAGAACTAAAAAGCAACACGCTCATTGTTTTTTTCAGTCATTGGCATTTATTCTTTAGAAGCAAGAGCTCCAAAATGCTTCCAGCTGAGCTTCAACTTCATGTAGAAAAAATGTCAAGCTCTGGCAATAAACTAGAAAAAATTTTAGGCACAAAAAGGCTGCGCACTATATCACAAAGTAAGTTCACATTGAAATTTGTGAACATAGTCAGCAGAGCAAAATCCGGTCCAGAAGAAGATAGGAAGAAGATAGGAAGAAGATAGGAAGAACAAGCCCAAGAAAGCTACAAATAGCAAATCTGTGCAAAAATTTTAACATCACACGACAAAAAAAAACGGTGTGGATTTCGATATAAAACGCTTCGTAGAGGTAGCAGTAATAATAATGGGACACACTTCATAGAGAGGGTGTCAGACAGTCTGCGAATTTTAGATTCGGCTAATAAGAGGTCTTTCTTCTACTGGACCATTCTGCTTAGTGCAAAACTTCCTAACAGAACGTTAAAAAATGCCACCAAGGCGTAACAAAATATAAGAAGTTTTTGAGCGGAATTTTTTGAAAAAAAAAACATAACAGAGTATTTATGATCGGGTGTGTTTGTTTTCCAGACAAATATCGCAATTTCAACTAGCAAACTTTGACGAAAATTCAATACAGTCTGAAATATATTAAAAGACTGAGTTCAAAAATGTAATAAAAACTTCACTTGTGACTATTTTTGGTCAAGTTATGAGTCTTCGAAAACCAGTATTTTGCAAAATTGAGCTCGAAATGATCATTCTTTTTTCTACCGTTTAACGTAGGCAGTGATATTATCCTGCTCAGAATCCTTACAAAGGTGCATTGATGCAGGTTTAGTGATCCAAATACTGCAAAAAAAAGATGAGCAAATTTTCTCATGTGTTTGACCTGAGTGCGTATATTTTGAAAAAACATCCGAATAAATTTTCTTGAACGCAAGGAAAAAGGAAAATGCCGACTTGCTTTTTTGAAAAAAACTTCAATTCAAAACAAAATCTGCTAAAAAAACCAGAAACTAAACCACTTTCGAAATTAGAAGTCATTCACGTTTTTTGCGCCTTTTTCACTTTCGTACTTGAAAGTGCAATTTACCTAATTTTTAGCAAAACAATTTTAATTGAACTCCAAAAGTGTATTTACACCTAAGTGCAGTCGTAAAGTCAATAATAAGTATGAATGCACATCTGTAGTTATTAGACCATTTAAGGATTTTTTTCTAAAAAAAACATAGCCAATTGACAACTGGAAAAGAGTAAGGAACGCAAGGAAAGCGAAAATAAGGACTTCTAAAAAAACTTTCAAGCTGCGAATTCGAAAAAAAAATAATATGCCCTTTTAAAGCTCTTTGAATTTCACGGACAATTTATGCTTGACCCTTTTTGATAAAATTAACCCGATGTGAGAAAACCGGCTCAATTGATAAGTTTTATTTTGCTGGGCAACCTGATAATTAAATTCTATAATCGAAATAGGAAGTTAATCACGTTTCTGGTGATCTTTAAAATTCAGCCTTTCGATAGTGGAGTTTGCCTTCCTTTTAGCAAGGGAAACGAAGTGAACTAAAAAAAATCAAAAGTCAAACGGCAAAAAGTCAAACTTGAGCGTGAAAACATTACGAAGGCAAACTATGTGTTTTGTGAACTGTACGCGGATTCCGCAGCAAGGACGCTCGTTTTGTCTTTTGTTTTCTTTGATCGGTCCTACAAAGTTCTAACATTTTCAAAGACTTGACTCTGGATTGCAGAGACTTACATACACTAAGTTGTGCGTGCGCCTATCCAGTGCACAGTTTGGCCTTGTAATGCAACTTTTAAGAGTTTTTTCCTGACAGAAAAACAGACAGAAAAAAACTACACAAAACCACCTACTAATATAAGAAGATTCAATACGTTCATTACTATTAATGAAATCCCCTGCAGTCTAATTATTGATGAGCGTGTCATTACTGACGACAGTGATGCAATATTTTAAACTATTTAAACTACTTATTTTAATATTATTTTCTTGTTAATTGAATCTAAGATCCCAACAGGGTGATATATTACAATATCTGACAGGTTCAAGTTAATAATAACTGTAATTATTAATAATCGGTGCCAGTTTCAATAAGATTTCATCTGGTACAGTAATGTATTTACAAAGAATATCTTAATAGCATGGACATTTGATTTGAAAATGAAATGACTGTATACTATTTCAGTTCTCAAATTTAATACATGCACTATGTTCAAAATAACCACCTATTGTAACACATCACCCTAACACCCTACACCCCAGCAGTTCTCGGAATGCACACCTAGTAAAATTTCGTGAAGGAATACATTCAGCTAACCTTTCGCATTCTAGACGCAAGAAAGATTCTTGACAGGTTTCTAGAGGCAAGCTAACATCCTACTTTCCACATACCAACCACCTCAAACCGCCTATCCAGTGCACAGTTTGACCTTGCACTGTGCAGGACAGGGGAGGACTTCAACTCAAACCGATTTGTCAATCAACACAACATGCTATCGCACAACTAAGTTTTATGATGATGACATTTTCATTGAATAGAGTTGTGCGTACGAATGTGTGTAAGTTGGTTGCAACATCCACATACCTTGTTACGCAGTGAAATTTCTCCCCTAGCAACATTCTCCACACTCAACTCTCCTCTCAGATTCTGCCTCATCAACTCCCTCTTCTCATCAATGGACAGGTCATCTTTAGCCAGTACATAGCCCAGCTTAGTCAGAGCTGCTTCCGGGGTCATGTCTCCCCCAAGCACCACTCCACTTTCCTCCAGCGCTACGCCAGCTGCATATCCTGCAAAAATATACATAAGAATTGAATGTTGCATGTTTCGCTCCTCGTCAAATAATTCACCCTAACTTAAATTTAAAATTTCGCCTCACACTCATTACGGAGATATTAAAATCGAAATTTAAGTTGATTTGGATGATTTTAGACAAAAAATTGCAAATTTTGGGGTGCGAATAGAACTATTTTTCAGCGCAAGGTTGCCGATAAAAAAATTATCCGGGTAATTTGTCGGCAAAAAATAGAAGTCGGTAAATTATACCAATAATAGCAGCAGCGTTTCTTAACTTGAAAAATTGGTTTTTGTTATTGAACATTCTTGTTGAGTTGATCGATCAAGTCGCCACGTAATTCATCTAAGCGTTTTCAGCTACACTCCCATCGGGAAATACATTAATATGACTACCTTTTTTCACTTTCAAAAACTCTTTCGGACGTTGAAATCATTTCATAAAATTATCTTTTTTGCGCTTAAAACTAGCAGAGAAGATATTTTTGCTTGCAAAACATACATGGACGAATATAATTGAACTTTAGTTCTCGTTATTTTTTTTAACCTGGCGAGACCCCGCCCTTGTAGCATTGAGTGCAGTTTATGATCAAAACCTCCTTGTCTGACGCCTCCTTGAATGCCTTCAGAATATCCTTATTTGCATCTGGTCCATTCCCACTTCCGAATGTCTGCAACACCACCCCCCGCACGGGGGGACGGAGGAAGTTGGAGATGAGTTTGACTGTCATGCCTGGGTAGAAGCGCAACATGGTCACGTTCGGCTCCATCTTGGCCTGGATGGAAAATTCCCCTGCAGAACAACAAATAGAATTCGTAGGTTTCACAATTTACAAATTTTGAAGGCGGCACGCGACAGAAAAACGCAATTATTTGAACAAAACTTTCTAAAAAATTCTCAAAAACTGTTTTTTTTGCTCCGTTTTTTTCATCTGTATTGTTTCAGAAAATGTTGGCTCAGAAAATAAACAACAAATTAGAAAACTTTCAACATTTACAATTATCGCCCTTTTCGGGTAGAGGGAACAGATTGACATAAAACATTAGGAATTAGGCAAAAATAGTTTAAATATTTCTAAAAAAAGTTCTGATTCACGACTGAAACTGTTTTAATATGATACAACACTCGACCCCCTAATAATGTTTTTTGAATACCTAAAATCGCGCGAAAAAAAAACAGCCTTTGCCTTCCCAGTCTTTGAACAATATCTTGGCTAACAATAACTTAACTGTCATAGTAATAAATTAACTTGTAAAATGAACTTGCCAATAAATCAAATTAACAGGATAGAGTAAAAAATCAAGATAGCCATTAGTAACAAGATAATAAAAAATATAACTAGATGAAACATATAACGAGATAAAAACATGTCTAAATTAAGGGAAATTAATATTGCAAGGGTATGAATCTACGGTACTTACTGGGATCTCGGGCCCTGTAGATAATGTCCCAGCGGATGTTCACATACATGTCTATGTCTGCCAATGGCTGCATATTTGGAGAGTGAAACGCATGGTAAGAAGAACAGTCAACCTTCGACACACGGTTTCCCCTTAACACAATACTTTCTGGGTTGTTAAGAATGATTTCTAGCCTTTCTTTAACGCGTTTCGTTAATTGCAATAAAAATTCATTTTCGAACAAATTTGGAAAAATCAAGGTTTTTTTCTTAAAAAAATGCAAACCAGCAAAATCGCCACCATAACTTTTTCAACAAAATCAGGTCAAAAATCAAGAAATAAATGCTTTAATTATCAGCCTCCATCTGACAAAACTGCAAGAGAACAACAACACGTTTAGATTGTTTTCTCGTCTCTCACCTGTAGAGTTTATTTTTGAAGAAGATTGATACTTCTGGAATGGAGTAGTGTCCTGCACAGAAAAGAGCTCCCATCAAGTTCTCCCTCGCGTCACTCCGGTTCTCAAAAATAGGCACCTGGGACCCCGTCAACACTATCGGCTTGCCTATACAAAAATAAACAGTCAATCAAATAACCCAAATAAAAACAGCAATCAAGATTAAGACCAACGTCATACATATTAGAAAAAAATTACATATTTTTTATTTGCGGCTCTCATTTCGTATTATCAGGTCGGCAAATTCAATATCATTTGGCTCTAAAAGAGGACTTAAGCTTAACAAGCCCAGTAGTTGTGTACACATTACCCTAGTCAATGAAGGGAGGTTATCTTGCAAGATAACCATCCCAAAAATTCTGTTTAAAAACAAAAAATAACAGAAACTAGGTGTATGATCAATACAAATTAATTCTAGAACAAAAACGCAAAATTTTTTCGAGTTGACCTAAAAAAATTAACTTTTTTCAAAATTTTTGGTTTGAATCGTTAAAAATTGTGTAGAGTAAGCTCTCGATGAATCGCTTGTGTTCTGTTTTGCAGTGATTCAAACTTTCCCAAACTCAGAAAATAATTTTCAAATTTATTTGTGTTTCCAATAAAAACAAATTGATCAATTTCTCTTAATTTTTTTGAGCTTAACCTGAAAATTCATTAAAAAAAGGTAATTGTGTGAAAAAACTTAGTAAAAAAACTAACTTTCATCTGGTGCTTTTTGCTTTTGTTTTTTGCTTGGATGTATGTCTTTATATTCATAATCTCATTTGATATAAATTTTGTTTTTCCTATTTTGAGAGATTAAGGAATAAGTTGTCAATCAAAAATTGAAGATAGCCGCCTATCACAGAGTAAGTAAAAAACGAAGCTTTCTGGGGGGGGGGGGGGGCGTTGGGCGCTAAGCGGGCTGTGTGTGTATGTATGCGTAGCTAAGATTGCTTCCTTCTTTCACGAACGCTACTTGGTTGTCTTCGCGTGTAAAGCTGTTCTTGCCCAAAAAATCATTTCTTTAAAAATCTTGCAAAAAAGGTTATCTTTAAAGGAGGCTATGTTGCAAGATCTTGCAACAATCTTGCAAGATGTTTTAAAAAGCTGCATCCTCTTTAAAAGAATCTTGCAAGACTCTTGGAAGATCTTGCAAGATAACTTCCCTTGATCGACTGGTATGGTTTCATTACTGACCGAGGTGGTCACACATCATGGACAGTGCAGACGCAGTGTAAGCCATGGTGTCTGTTCCGTGGAGGATGATGAATCCATCGAACTTGTCGTAGTATTTCCTGATGTCTCTTGCCATCTGGCACCAGTTTTCCTGCCAAATCACAATATGATAGAAAAGGAAGCCGATTTAGGGGTAGTGTTGATCTGCGAAGGACGCCTTTCTCCTCGGGGATTCGACCCATGACCACCCAAGGCGTCCCTATTTTATATTAATTTTCGGTAATTTCACCATAAATTTTTTTCAGGAGCCTAAGCAGCTTTTCAGCAAACGCCATCCAAAATCTTTGCAATCGCCATCCGCCGACACCACGAACAAAAAAACGGCTCAAAGCGAAAGCTAATAAGCGCCAGTGATAGGAAGTATAAGTGAATCAGTGGCTGCCGCTAATCCACGCTGCTCAAACCCGTCAGAAAAAAAGTGATCTGGGTTTTTCGGCGATTTTTCTGTCGATCTAGCATTTTTTGGCCTCCAAATCTAAAAAACAACAAAAAAAAACATTTTACTGATCAGAACAATTTATTTATCACACAGAAGAAATTCTCTAATTTTGTTTGCCGCTGTTTTCACCCTTGAATGATTATGCCAGTAAGAGTATTAATTAGAGGTAAGCCGTTTACACTTTCCGAAAATTTTTAGCATGTAGTCAACTGTCCGCGGCGTTCATTCTAGGAAAAAACAGTTATCCATATCTAAGCTTTTATATAAATTTATTTCTTGATAAAACTATGAATATTGCATCAAAATCATCAATGTGTTATTTCAATTTCTCCCCCAGGAATAGTTTTCAAAGTAGGAACATCGTTCAGAATTGATAAGTCCTTACAACAAAAAGGCATTAATGCGTATAGTATTTATTGTAGGAATGAAAAAACGTCAAGGCCAATCGTACTAAAAAAACTCCGGAGAATCAAAAGTAGTTCTTTACAAAGGTGTAATAGGCAAAACATTTGAGAACCTAGAAATAAAATAAAATCCTTTATTCCTGCTTCAAAACATTTATGAATGTGAAGTTTTCTTTAGAAGCTGTTATAACGCTTGAAGGTTTGTGCAGTTTGCCTAACATTTTGTGTACTGAGCAGTAAATTTAATTTAACCTTACAAAAAAATACGATCACGAGTTTTTAATATATTTTTTTAAGTTTGTCACTAATCAAGCTTTTTTTCGTGCTTCTACTGGTAATTTATTTTCAAGCAATTACAAAAAGTATAAAGCTTACAGAACTTTTACACAGAACAACATTCGTTTGTATTGAAAGAAATTATACAACACAAAATATTTAACAATGAATAGCGGTCTTGTATGACACCCAAAAAGGTATACCAAAATGCGTAGACACGGAATAAAGTCTTAACCGAGATCGAAAACAGTCAAGTACGCTAACAATTTTGGACCACCCTCAAAATCAAAGAAAGATAGAAGGATCGGAACCCAATGGCTGAGACAAAATTTTTCTTTGAATTCATCATATTTGCATAACAAATTGCAAAAGGCTAGGAGTTTAGTATAATTACAGTTTTACGAGTCTATAATAATTTCTTTTTCAGGCGGTTTTATTAACTAAAAATTCAGTATTACACTTAAACGAATGTAAAATTACCCTACGTAAAATAAGGAGAATTATTAGAGTGAAACCTTTGATGAAAGAACTAGCCAATGTAAAATTGTATCAAACTTACTCTGCGAAGATAATTAAGCAGCATCGTATTTCTCTTAGGGCCAAGTAGGGACCAATGACATTAATTATTAGCCTTGTAGTTTTCAAGTTACAAAATGCAAACTAGAAAAGTTCATCAATAAAGGAAACATTATCTCTTTCTTTTTCAACATATTGAGTACGTTCTTACCAACATTCATGATATTAAAATGTGCGAACATAGTTTTCCGACCCGACCCGCCGCAGATTTATGCCAGCATATGTTGGTGGCTTCATGTAGCCTTTTAAAACCTATGGTACCATATTCTTTCAACCAACGCAAATAATTGTTGGTGAATGTATGCAACCTTTGAGACTCTAATGATTCGCTCCTCAAAATTTTGGCAAAGTTACTAATTCGGTAGTTTAGAATCCACAACACGCAGGCATTTAAACCCTTCAATACAACATGTTTTTTTAGGAGCAACAATTTGAAAATTGGACCGCATCATTATTAAGATTGTTAACGTTAACTTTTTACATCATTAAGTTCAGGATATTTGAACATGGATTGGTGCAGGGAATTAAACAGAAGAAAAATTATTATATTTATCTTAATGAATAATATACCATTTTGTAATTGTTCTTTAGTTTTCCATTTCATCGATATTTCATTTCAATTTGATTCTTTTTCAAATCTTTTTCATATTTTATCGAAAAATGAAATGAAGTTTTCTGGTTAAGACAAAAATGTTGTCAAATTAATTATAATATTTGTTTATTCTTGCCTTACAACTTTAAGATTTTTCTATTTGTTCATATTTGCATCTAGCAAATCACAACCAAAATTTTATAGCTGTTTATTTTGTTAAAAACCCTATAGTAAGCCTGTGGATGACCCCAGGTGGACATACATTTAAGATTAGGGGTTAATTAATGCCCAAATTTTCATTTTTGCTTTAACTACAAAACTTTAATATCTGAGCCTAACTCAGAGTTTCAAACTGCATTTTTATTTTTTGTTCCTGTGGTTAATGAACAACATGATCGTCTTTCTTTTTTTGTTTTTGGTGGGTTTGCGTACAACACAAAGCATACTTATATTTGATTTGAGTAAGGGCACAAAAATCAACCATACGAAGCTTGTGTATGACACGAAAGTTTCAAATATTCATCTTCTATAATAACCACAAAAAAGAACTGTGACAGGATGTTTGACAACTGAAATTGAACTAGTGATGAACTGTGAACTCTCAGTTTAAATACACAAAATATCAATCAGAGAAAAAGGAAGCTAAGAGTGTTGTCACTGCAGTTTTGACAAGTGAAACCCCATCTATCAACTCGCTACACAATTGCAACCTCGATTCAAAAAGGACGAGTACTACCGAAATCAAGACAGCGAGTGGCAATTGGATGAAATCGTCTATGACATAAATGACAAGAAGGATGAAGGAAAAGCTCTAAAATTAATTGAAATGAAACGAATCAATCAAACTATTTTACTTTATTTTTTAACCATTTGATTTCATCTTAAAGTATAATGTCTTTTTCTATTATTCAACTTAACGCTGTTTCATGATATTTAAAAATAATTCGACACCAATGTAGATGTAAGGATTGAACAACTGTCTAACTAAAAAAGGGGTGAGTTGTAGTATTGCAAATACTACACGGACATTAAAGAAAAGACTATTGTTTTATCTGTTTACATTAGATTAGAGTGGACTCCTTTCCTTTTTTAACTTGTCAAGCCTCTAAAAACTAGTCCGTTTTTTTATTCTTTCAAAGCTGAATGCCTTTAAAAATAGTCAATATTTTTCCACAGACTATTTTGACGGATATCAAAGAAAAAGTATGTCGCCAAACAAACTGACCGGTTAAAATGCTCTGCTTTGAAAAGCAAACATTAGAGCGAAAAGCACCCGGTCTTTGGAGCCTAACAAAGACACAAAAAAATAAAACACCTGCAAATCAGAGACGGAATGAATAACGGTTTTTTAATATTAAAAACTTCAAAGATGACACAACTGAAAACTTTCCAAACACCTCGAAGATGAAAGATATCCGATGAAACAAATTCTATGAAGATTCGAATTAGACAAAGGTACTTTGAAGCATTCTTGCATTAATATTAGACCTGTCTAAGATCTTCACAATTTTTTTATTCCACTCTCATTGTAGCTCGCTCAGTCGAGTTAACATTTTCCGGAATAATTTTATTTCTTTCTTTTGTTTCTTTTCATTTTAGAAATTTATTAAGATATGATTTTAGAATTTTATAAGTTCTCGAAAAATAAAAGCAGCAGCATGGATCTAAACGAACTGATGCTCCAATACTCAGAGAAGCATTAGGTGAGCAAATCAATCAGCAATCTAGACGCGGACTACAGGCAAACGAAGTGCTAGGTTAAACGTAAAAACTAGGTATTGACCCCATCCCCATTGGAACTAAAGACAGTTGTTCATTAATTGTTTAAATCATTTATACTCAACTATTCATTATATAAACTCTTTCTCTTTTCTATTGATTATATAAATTTTTCCTTTTTTTCTAACTAAATTTTTAAACTATAACTATTGTCAAGAAAATTGACGAATCAAGGTGAGACTTATAACTTAGGATAGATTACTAAGCAATCAACCAGCAATGATCGCTTAGTGAAACGTCAAAGTCCTATTTGAAAATTATGTAATTTCAATGGAGAAAATTCACAACAGTTGATAAATCGCAACAATCGGCCCCTCTTAACAAAGAAAAGAATTGTATTCCAAGAACACGTTCGAATTATCAACTTTAACATCCCCACAACCATTTACGTAGAGAATTGAGTTCGGATACCTCCAACGAGTGCTTTGCAGTTTCACCAGAATGTAAATCATTTGCAAGAACCTTTTATAGGTACAAATCAGCGCCAATTGACCTAAAGTATTGCAATAAAGAATTACAATACGAACTACTTACCTAACTTCGTCAAAAGCAACAAGTGTATCGATGAGGAAACAAAAACCCAGAAGAAAACCCGTTCTAATCTCTCTCACTGATTTCTTATGAAGTCGAAAGGCCAGGTCCAGCCTCGCTCAATTACGCTCCGGCTATTCACTGTTACTCAATTTCTACCTTAAGAGACTTGACCCAAGTGTACTCAATGAAAGACCAAAGTGCTGAAGAACCCCCTTGGTACACCAACCACCTCTTTAATTGTCCCAAGCCCTATACTCACTAATATCTCTCTGTGGCTCAACTCACTCAACTCAGATAAATCTTCTTTTTAAGATTGGATCAGCAATCAAGCACATCAGTTGAACTTGCTCCTGATGGCCGTTATCGGCTCAACCTTGGCTGGTAACCTCGACTATGAGTTGCTTTTTCCATTCCTTGCGACCACTTAGACGGAAGAAAATTTATTCAGACAACATAGCACCGCTTTAAACACACATCCCCGTTTGACGGCGTAGTTACTGCAATAGAGGGGGAGAAGCTCAAAGTCTGAAATAGACGAAACGACGCTACAATCAGCCTTGAAGAAAAAAGCGCTGCCTCTGGAGATGTCAACTACGGTTACGTAGCAGTATTTAGACAACCGCGTATTCAGACACGTCAGTATTTAGACAAATACTGTTTTAACCAATCAGAATCGAGACTAGAAAGAAATTAATAAATAATTATGATTTAATTTGGATTATTTATGTCTTATCTCGATTCTGATTGGTTCATGCAGTATTTGTCTAAATACTAGCGAGTATGAATACGCGGTTGTCTAAATACAGACCGCACTCCGTCAACTACAGCTACAACAGCAAGTTCTTTTTCCTGTTAATTTTTGGTGGTCAAGAAATTGAGGGAGTGACTGTTCTATTTTCAAAGACCACTTCATATCGCTAATAGGATCAAAAATTAAATTATCTACTTAGATTGACTAAATGAATAATTTTAAAAAGAGTCTTCGTCGCGTCAAGACATAAGACTCTACTTGGCAAGCGCGCAAAAAAAACGCGCGTTTTTTTTTCTAAACCCTTCAGTAACAGCTGAAAATTCTGACAAAAAGGTTCTCGATAAATAAATAAAACTACCCTAAAAAAGTCAAATTAAAGTTTCGAAAACGCCCTCAAAACTGGAACAGATAACAGGTATTGTGTTGAAAGTCTATTGCTGTACCTGTGTCATGTTGCTACTGTCGAGGAGTGGCTGGTACTCGAGTATCTCGAACTCCACCCGAATTCCCTGTTGTGATTCGGGCATCACGAACAGAGTGCCATTGCCCATGCTAGCCAATCCAGTCACCTAGAACAGACGAGTTGTAAATATTGCATGCTCATGATAAGCATGTTCGATCTGAAAGTTAGGGTACAAATATGATTGATGGGTTCCCTAAAGATAAATTAAATGCGCTTAGAAAACTTTCGGATTGAATTTGAAATTGCTTTTTTGCGTTTGAGGTTTCCATAAAACGGTTGGACCCATCTTTAGTACTTGCTTTTTCTGGGCACCGAACCAGGGGAGGATTTACATGGGAGGGGCCGACGCCCCCATCAGGGATTCGCCCCTCTCACCAAAAAAGTGTACCCCTTTGGTATTTTTATGACAGCAATTTTTGGCCGACCAGTACTAAAACTTTTCTAATAGCGCCAATATATTTTAATTTTGAATTTTTTAAGTGAAGCGCGCGCCAAAAAAAACCATGTTTTTTTTCGGTCAAATATTTCCAAAAAAGCCCAAATTTTGCAAAAAGCCCAAAATTGGCAGAAAATTCAATTCGGTCACACTGGGGTCTTTATTAGTCTAAAAAGGTTGACCAAAATTAAAATTTTTTTTTTTTTGAAAATTCGAAACCCCCCCCCCCCCCCACCCTAGAAAAAAATCTTAGATCAGCCCCTGCACCGAACTATCATACTTGTACCAGAGTTGGACTCGTTAATACTTTCCATAATTTGAATGGAACACAATAACAAAGAGAAGATTTTGTCACATTCATCTCAATTTTTAAAGGCAACAACCGTTTTTGATACGACTTTAGGACGACGCTTCACGTAATTTGTAATTTTCCACGTTGTATTTTGAAGAAATTTAAACCGCTCAAATTAGAACTGCTCATTTTAAACGTACTAACGCTTATTTATCATTTAATGTCTTTTCGTCCTAATTTCTTGTCGTCTTAATGGCCTGTCGTCTTATTAACCTAGCACCCAAAAATGCACCTGTGCTGTGAGCAATGGCGGGCTGACGAGTGATCTCAGATCTGCGAAGTTCTTGTCGTGAATCATCGGCAACTCACTGATAGTCTTGCCGAGGAAGTTCGGCTGCGGAGCCAGCCCCACACCACGACGCTCCTCGCACATTCCTATCGTGCCTCCAGTGTAAATAACCAGCACGCGATGGTGAACAGGATCTCGAAACGAAGGCCTCTGCAGCTCCTCGTCAATCTGGATGTCATATAGCGGCCGATCATGTGCCTCGAAACTGGGATCCATGTCGTTTTGTTCTTATGTATCCTGTTGTTTGTCTATGTGGTGTGACTACAAGGTCGTATCTTTCGTCGTTAATTATACAATTGTGTAGTATAATTATTTGTTTATTTCCTAAATTGTCTCTTGACATAAGGTTTAGGATGAAGGATGCAATTTTGGGATTAGTGATTTTTAATGTCTTAAACTGTTAGTTCTTACGAATTTTTGTGGTTAGCTTAAATTGGGTTGTGTATTGTAGGGTTGGAGATGAGAGTATACATCGATTCGTGAGATTGATTTTTACTTTCTCGTGGCTAGTATAAGCTAAGGTGTTAACTTGCTTAATCTTACTTAGGGGTAATGATTGTGTTCAAGGGTTGGAGATTAGTAAACCGATCCACAAGGTTCAGGTATAATTAGAACGCAAGTAGTTCGTTAGGTACTATTTTAAACTTACTAAATATAAGTTTATCCTGGGTCAACTAAGAGGGGGGAAATCAAGTGAAGGATGAATAACCGAATTTCTTCACTGTTTATCTTAATTTGATTGGTTATTTTTTAAAAAAATTTCTGTTAGTACTGGGTCTTGAGAAAAGGTTGGATAGTGAATCGACGTTTGAGGTCGTTAAACACTTGATAATTTGTGAAGGGGAGAACAAAATTGTTCTATTTGATCCAAGGATAAGCCTCGTTAATTTAATTAAAAATTTAATCGAAAAGATGTAGTTTCAGTTTTTGATGATGTTAGTTAATTTATGACTTGCTGTTATGTTTTAGGTGATGAAGCTCGTATGAAGAAACGATTTATATATAATAATAATTTGTTTTTTATACTAACTAATTTTTGTATTTTTATATTCAATATATATTTTTTCCAAGATGTTTTTAACTTACTGCAGATTTTTCAAGAGAACGGCTAGAGATGTTTGTATCAGTCGTTATTGCGACTGCTTTTTTTAATTTTGGAACCTATGGGACTGATTTTTTAATTTAGAACCTATGGGACTCATTTTTTATTTTGGAACCTATGAATACGCACCTTTTTTTGGATTTTGGTTTCAATAAATTTAGAACGAAAACGTGTTCATTTGTGAATTGCTGCTTGAATAACTGTGAACAAAATACGTCTGTTATGTAATTTTCAACAACTTTTTACATAATGTTCACTCGGATATGCAACAAAACAGTCGCACAGACAGTTGTAAGGTGGCCAGTCGATAAGCAGAATGGTCTAAGAGCGTAATGAGTCCAGTAGCAGAAAAACAGAAAAATATTATCTTTTATAAGCTGATCGGTAAATCAAGTATAATAATAGTCAATATAATAAAAAAAAATCAGTGAAAAAATCATGATGAAGTTAATCAATTCATGATTATTTTATAGTTTTTCTTGGTATGTATTGAAGATTTTGATAATTGTTTTTATCAATTTGCCCGTATTAATCAGTATTATTTTTCTGATTTTCTGCTCTTAGATTATTCTGCTTGTTGCTCCACCTCCCAGTTGTAAGTAGTCTCATTGGCTGGATTGACAAAGCAAAAACCAAGAATACCAACAAACTGAAACCATTGTGAGCCGAAAGTTTTTGACTGAACGAAAATAGAATTTAATTTGCTCATTCATAATTTTTAATGATCCTATAAAAAATTATGATGAATTATTATAATGAAGTAGTTTTCATTAATTTTAGTTTCAAAAGAATAATTTTGGTTTTTCTTGCGTGGTTACAATTTTTGGCTCTGCTTTATTTGCCTTCGTCAAAATTACATCTTAAAACAAATGTTTTTTTTCGGTGAAGATACCATGTTTGAGAATTTCGAAGAACAGAAAATTTAGCAGGCTCAGCCAAAAGCAGACCCAAATTCCATTGTCAGCCAGCCAAAATTTGGGTTTTTCGGGTAGTCAGAGGCTCAAATCCCTGCAGAAATGCGTCTGCCCCAAACCCATCCCCAAAATCCGCTACTGGCGGATAATTTTTAAAGAAAACTGAAAGTGTTTTTATAAGAAATCGTTCTGCAGTTGAAGACTTCTGCTCAATGTATTCACCAGACAAAATCACCAACTGAACCGTAACGTACGGCTGGTGCAATAGAGCTTTTACTAAACATCATATCGTTTATAACATCAGCCAGTTTTTGAAATGCATAAATTATAAACATGAAAAACGCATTCAACCATTTTTTACTTTCCATCTTTCCGAAACATCCTTTGAAGGCTTAAATTTTATGAAAACGCCGATAACTAGTAAAGAAAGATCATGAAATTCAGAACTTCTTCAAAAAAGTTTTCAAATTAATCATATTTCACGACTTAATAAAGAACTATTCGGCTTGAAGTCCCTAATTTTACAGTTCGGCTTGAAGTCCCGTTGGCTTGATGTCCGGCACCCCCTTAAACCAAGAGCTTAAAGTAGTCGGCTTAATAGTCTTAGGCCAATTGAATATTTTTGGTACTAACGCGAATGATTTTTTCTTTTTGTACAAATGGGACTGATTTATCATTTTGGTACTTGTGAATGGGTGCCAGACATCAAGCTGACGGGACTTCAAGACGAATTCTAAAATTAGGGACTTCAAGCCGAATAGTTCTTTATTAAGTCGTGAAATTTGAAAACTTTTTTGAAGAATTTCTGAATTTCATGATCTTTCTTTACTAGTTATCGGCGTTTTCATAAAATTTAAGCCTTCAAAGGATGTTTCAAAAGTTGGAAAGTAAAACATGGTTGAAGGCGTTTTTCATGTATGTAATTATTGCATTTCAAAAACTGGCTGATGTTATAAACGGATGCCAATCACAAATGGTGCATTGTCATGAAAAACGCTTATCATGGACTAAACTTGCCAAAACTTTTGAAAAGCAACCTTTTACAGATGATAAAACTGTATTTTGAGGTGCCTGTAAAGTTTTAATTTCGGCTTCAAGTCCCTTCGGCTTGAAGTACCGTCGGCTTGTTGTCCTAGACCCGGTTTAAGGTCGCCGGTGGGCGCGCTACGCGCCCGTCGCGGCTTCGCGGCGATAACCGGCTCTAATTTTCGTATAGAGTCCTACCCTCTGTTGGCAAGCTCGCAACATGTTGGCGCGACTGCGGCGGTCACTATTCGGCTGTTAGTTTTCTTCAGTTTGAACAGCAAAAAATTAGCGTAACAATTTGTTGGCTCACAATTCGACCAATCAGAAATCGAATTGAATAATTTTGGTACAAATGGGACCGATTTTTCATTTTGGTACAAATGACCGTTGGTACGAATGGGACGTCACCCACTGGAATGTTTAAAAACCGCGCGAACAACTTGTGCAGAAAAACAAGCCGGCACAAGTATGATAGTTGGGTCCTTAAAATTTAGATAGGTCCCTGAAGAAACATTTCGAGTCCTTAAAATCTTCAAAAAAACATGGTTCGTTTTTCAAAATTGCTGATCAAATGAACCCGCGCATTTTCTTGCAGAAAATACTTTGTTTCTGAAAATCCATGTAATCAAAAAATGATCATTTACATTTACGTCTCATAACCTATGTTTTTTTTACGTATAATTTTGGTAAATTTTGAACTTTTGCTCAGAGTTTGGCTCTATGATTCGTGTCATGGTCCCAAATTTTCCGAGCTTTTGAACCATTACATATAATTGGATCTGCTTATAACAATTATCCCCCTTTCGAGAAAGGGGGTGGGGTAACAATTATCCCCCTTTCGAGAAAGGGGGTGCGGTAACAATTATCGGCTCTTTTTCCTTTTCCCCCCACCTCACTCAAATATTTTTTTATGGTCTAACGAGTGGTTTTAGAAGATTAATTATGGAGACCAAATATGATTATCATAGCCTAATTAGTTTACATGTCAATTTTCATGACAATGGAACAATGTGAACAGTAACTTCAAATGTAAAAATTTGCAGGTGGGGGGGGGAGGAAAAAGAGCCCAATTATCCCCCTTTCGAGAAAAGGGGGGTGAGGTAACAATTATCCCCCTTTCGAGAAAGGGGAGTGCGGTAACAATTATCCCCATTTCGAGAAAGGGGGGTGGTGTAACAATTATCCCCTTTTCGAGAAAGGGAGAGGGGTAACAATTATCCCCCTTTTGAGAATGGGGGATGGGGTAACAATTATTCCCCTTTCGAGAAAGGGGGGTTGGGTAACAATTATCCCCCTTACGAGAAAGGGGTTTGGTGTAACAATTATCCACCTTTCGAGAAAGGGGGGCGGGGTTACAATTATCCCCCTTTCGAGAAAGGGGGTTGGGGTTACAATTATCCCCCTTTCGAGAAAGGGGTTGGGGTAACAATTATCCCCTTTCGGGAAAGGGGGTGGGGTAACAATTATCCCCCTTTCGAGAATGGGGGTTGGGGTAACAATTATTCCCCTTTCGAGATTGGGGATTGGGGTAACAATTATCCCCCTTTCGAGAAAGGGGATTGGGGTAACAATTATCCCCCTTTCGAGAAAGGGGGTGGGGTAACAATTATCCACCTTTCGAGAAAGGGGGTGGGGTAACAATTATCCCCTTTTCGAGAAAGGGAGAGGGGTAACAATTATCCCCCTTTTGAGAATGGGGGATGGGGTAACAATTATTCCCCTTTCGAGAAAGGGGGGTTGGGTAACAATTATCCCCCTTACGAGAAAGGGGTTTGGTGTAACAATTATCCACCTTTCGAGAAAGGGGGGCGGGGTTACAATTATCCCCCTTTCGAGAAAGGGGGTTGGGGTTACAATTATCCCCCTTTCGAGAAAGGGGTTGGGGTAACAATTATCCCCCTTTCGAGAAAGGGGGTGGGGTAACAATTATACCCCTTTTGAGAAAGAGGGTTGGGGTAACAATTGTCCCCCTTTCGAGAAAGGGGGTGGGGTAACAATTATCCACCTTTCGAGAAAGGGGGTGGGGTAACAATTATCCCCTTTTCGAGAAAGGGAGAGGGGTAACAATTATCCCCCTTTTGAGAATGGGGGATGGGGTAACAATTATTCCCCTTTCGAGAAAGGGGGGTTGGGTAACAATTATCCCCCTTACGAGAAAGGGGTTTGGTGTAACAATTATCCACATTTCGAGAAAGGGGGGCGGGGTTACAATTATCCCCCTTTCGAGAAAGGGGGTGGGGTAACAATTATCCCCCTTTCGAGAAAGGGGGGTGGGGTAACAATTATCCCCTTTTCGAGAAAGGGGCGTGGGGTAACAATTATACCCCTTTCGAGAAAGAGGGTTGGGGTAACAATTATCCCCCTTTCGAGAAAGGGGGGTGGGGTAACAATTATCCCCCTTTCGAGAAAGGGGGTTTGGGTAACAAATATCTCCCTTTTGAGAAGGGGGTGGGGTAATAATTATCCCCCTTTCGAGAAAGGGGGTGGGGTAACAATTACCCACCTTTCGACAAAGGGGGTTGGGGTAACAATTATCCCCCTTTCGAGAAAGGGGTGATTGTAAAGTAGATTAAGTAAGTCGAATTTTCGCAAAATCAGAATAGAGCCAATTTCGAATTTTAAAAGAACGCTCTAGTGCTAATTTCAAATTTACTTCTTTCAGTTTCGGGGTGCCAAATTTTTTTTAGTAGATACCATAAAAGTGGTGATATTGCGAAGTACAACGCTTACAATTACTGAAATTTATTCGTATTGGTTTTCTACAAAAGCAATAAAATGCAAAAACTATGAACGCAACCCCTGAAAATGTAAAGTAAAATAAATCCGAGAAACTTACCTGGCAGTTCTTGTGAAAAACGCCGCTCGGTCAGATTTTCCGCGAGGCATCCGCTGCCCCACCAACAGTAACACAAATAAGCTCCCCAAACAAAATTAGTTGACGCTATTTTAGTGTGTAATTATCTTGATAATAGTTTTGGCTTCAGTAAGAATTTTTTAATGACCGCTAGTTTTGAAAAATTATGTTTATATCAAGTTTATCAAGTCTAAATGTGTAGAATTGGTGATTCTACTGTATTACATGCTATAGTAACCTGAGCGTAGGGTTGGTTCGTCATCAAGTTAAATAGTACAGCAAACAAAGGGTAAAGTTCAAAATAGTTCAATCTTCGAAGATATAGTCCCTCCTATGGCAGAAAATGCGAAGGGAGTAAAAACTGCAGCCCCCCAAATGGGAACTAAAGTGGCTAGGTTTATGAAACTCATAGGACGGATACTA